AGGTGGTCAATGTCCTCCTGTGGTATCTCATTCCAGGCAACCACCAACTCCTCTCGAAGTGCTTCTAGAGTCTGAGGAGGACGTTGCAAATTGAGCAATCTCCTACCCATCATATCCCACACGTGCTCAATTGGGGATAAGTCGGGAGATCTTGGTGGCCATGGTAACAATGTGACATCATTATGTTGAAAGAAGTCTATTGTGGCTCTTGCAACATGTGGTCGGGCATTATCTTGTTGGAAAGTTGGATCTGCCAGGGTGTCAAGATAGGGTAAAAGATGGGGTTCTATAACTTCGTGGATATAACGCTGCGCGTTCATGTTACCTCTGATGAAGATTAAAGGTGACCTTTAACCATAAGCTATAGCACCCCAAACCATAACTCCAACAGTGTGATGAACATGTCTTTCAACAAAAAACTGTGGATTCCTCCATTCACCACGTCGCCTTCTAACCCTGACACGACCATCGTGCATGCCTAAACAAAATCGAGACTCGTCACTAAAGACAACACCTAACCACAGTGTCTACACTTCTTTGCACTCTAACTGCAATTGCCCGAAAAGAAAGTCCAGCTTCCCGAAGTCCCACTATACGGCCCCTATCAAACTCACTAAGTTGACGAAATCGTACATGTCTCCGTACTCTAGGCATCGTAACCGATCGTAAAGGATGCCAAGAACCAAAATCCGACAACGTTGATTATTTACTGCGGCTGAAATATTCATTTTTAGAGCGTTAGTGAATTAAAAAAAAACAGTATAAAAACCGGAATGTCCAACTGATAAGGCTGAAAATTGTTAAACTTGTTATTTACAGTAAGATAAATACATTCACCAACTTTTATTAAAATAAAACCATTTAAACTGGATGTTCGGATTTATATGTCACTTAGTATATGATGCTTAATTTGGTTTGTGAAAGTTAACGCATTACCCTCGTAATAGAATACGTCGGAGTAGGTTTGACACAATTTTAGAATATGAGTTTTTTCTTCATTATTGAGATGATATGTTCGTATCAGTTTACTGATATCATGTCGCAACGGCGAAACTGATTCAGATGGTTTAATGATGCGGTGGAATAAAGCGTAATTATTGTTTGCGTCGAATGGAAATGAAACAATAGGCTCATACAAGGAAATTTCTTGATAAGTGTTACTAGGCTTTTCTAGGTCAACTAGGGCATAACCGTTTATAGCATGAGTAAGCGTTTCCTTGATTACACAATCTCTAATTTTGGAATTTGGAATCAAAATTTCTACATTATAAGTATCGACAGGAATTTTGGCTTGGGTCGCCGTGTATGGCTCAATTTCTATGAAAAATAATAAACGATTTTTCAAATCATGAAATTTGATTGGAATTTTGGCGTTTTTGGTATGCAAAATAGAATTTCGAAGGTCAACATGAGATAAATGTATGTTATCCACCTTGAATAAGACAATTAGGTTAGCATTGTCTCTTATTACTCTTTTGGGCACCCAGGAGTAACTCTGCACAATATAGAAGCAATCCACACCTTTCTGCCTACCCATGCTGAAGTATTCTAGAATAGAAGTCTGATTTTCTGTCATTACGTCATCAAAAATGAATATTGAATTCGGCTTGGCTTTCGATGGCGGTACGATATCAGCATTATTGTTAAATACATAATAACCTAAACCATTGACCGAAGTTAGTACTTTCTGTATAAATTGATATTTCGGTTGATTCACTGATTTTGAAAATATATAGACGTTTTCAAAGTAGATTCAATTCTCATGTAGCAGTAACGATATTAATACGTTGGTTTTTCCACAGTTCGATGGTCCAACAATAATACAGCGGATTGTGGATGGGAGGAGACTTCCATGCCGCTGCATAGCATTGTTTTGTATATCCGCCACTTTTGTATCAATATTGCTGATACATAATTCTTGTTTCTGTTTTGTGACCCTCATTGTACAACGAGTTAAGCATATAAAAGCACTTCAAAAGCTGCTGGTGGTGGTTTTGTCGATACGCTGATAGATAAGTTACCATTCGAAGTACACTTACCTTCTTACCAGTTCTGTGGTCCAGGGACACGTCTTCAAAAAAGGTTAGCCCTAGGTCAGAAAGGCATTAATAAGTTAGACGGTGCATGCTTACAGCATGATATTGCATATCAGAAATCTGATTTGACAACGAGACACGTTGCTGATTATCAACTTGAGCAAGACGCTTGGAAAAGAGTCAAATCTCCAGACGCAAAACTTGGAGAAAAAGCTGCCGCTTTGTTAGTTACTAATATCATGAAAGTAAAACGTCACGCAGGAATGGGTCTAGCATCATATCGTGGACGGAGTAGAAGAAAATACATCCGCAGAACATCGGGTATTATGAAAGTCAAACGTCGTATAGGTATGGGAGGACATGCATAACGGCGTGGACCTAAAGGAAGAAAAGCTATCCCTAGAAAATCACAGAAAAGCGTACAATTTGAATCGGGGATAGTGAATAAAGTATACAAACACATGAAAAGGTTCTCAAACTGTAAACCAGACACGAGAGTATTAGCAAAGGCGACTTCCGCTGCATTACTTACTGCCCGGAAACATATCAGATCGATCGGTGGAAAACGGCTGATTCAGCTTCCACGAGTTATATATTCCCAAGGTTGGAGGCATCCTTCCTTTGATATCAATTTTTGCCGGTCTTTCAGCATTAGGTAGTCTAGCTGGGGGTATTGCCACCATAACAAGAGCTGCTAAAATAGCTAGTTCAGTGCGTGAGCAAATTCAAAATAAAAGTACTTCACCACCTTCTTCCAATGTGAATCGAATTGGGGATGGTCTCTTTCTGAAACCATACCGTAAAGGATTGGGGTTATTCATCAAGTTAAGAAATTCAAAAAACTATTGAAAATCCTCCCCCCTCGACCGCTAACAAATATAGATCTAATCTATTATGCTAGGAAGCTAAAAATACCATATTTCAAAGGAGTATTTATGCGCGATGAAATGTCCGAGCAGGGTCCGCTGAAAAATGAATCAGTCATATTTAATTTAGATAACAAGAGTGGGGATGGGTCACATTGGGTTTCATATATAAAACGTGGAATGGTTGTATGGTACTATGCTAGTGTCGGCAATCTACCCCCACCCAAGGAGCTAATCAAATATTTGACCAACATGTCGAAAAAGATAAAAATCTTGTACAATTATAATCGACAACAACAGTTCAATACGTTTTGGTGTGGTCATTTGTGTCTGCGATTTCTATCTGAAGAAACATCAGAGCGCTGAAGACAATGGATCACGAACGATTGAAAAAGATTAGAGACTCTCTTAAAGCCTTTTCATGGGAGAGAAGCCAAATGAAATAGCACATGTATGGAACAAACTGCCGGAGCCTTTGAAGGAGGACGCTGATATACAGCGATTCCAATTCTGCTGGGAACACCAGGGAATAAGCAGGAGTAATGATGAAGCAGATGGACCGCCACCAAGAAAAATATTTTTTTGTTACTGTAACATGCAAGATATCAATGTTAAAAATACATCTGAATCAAACAACTGTTGTAATCAATAAATATTTTTTTTACCTATATAAGACCATGTTTTCATTCATCAAGTCTTCAGTCATGTCTAACACATTTACTCTAACGGGTTACACTAGCAAACTGTCTGCTAATTTTTATCCACCAATCGAGTTGGATATAAGTGCGGAATATGGTCTTACTCACGAGGGTGACGAGAGTAATGTGGTAACCCTTCCTGAAGGTGTTTATGAAATCGAAGATATCAATAAATACATACAAAATGAAATAATATCAATGAATGATACATATAAAGAGAGATATGAAAACAAAGTTGATGAAATGTTCTCTTTGAAAGCCAACACTAATACTGAAGTGTGAACTCCATTCTGTATTCGATATTGCTCTGTCCAATTCCATGGCAACTATGCTTGGATTTAAGAACAAAAATTTTCCCAGAAATAAAATCTACACATCGAATTTACCTGTAAACATAACTCCCATCATGATAATAAGAGTCGACTGTGGATTAATACCAGGAGCTTATTGCAATGGCGTTGAAATGCACACGTTGTATGAGTTTGATATAGACTTTGAACCAGGATTTAAATTAACAAAGGAGCCTTAGAATGTAATATATATGAGCGTTAAACCGCGTGGACGTCAGTTTATTGATAACATCACACTGGAAATTTTGGATAACCTCGGGAATTTGGTCAATTTCCGTGGTGAAAAAATTATAGTCAAATTAGAACTACGACGCCTGTCTAGTGCCAGCTGAAGACAATGGGATTTCTATATAACCGAGACATATATCATTTGATGAATGTAGAAAAAGGTCGCACAACTAATCATAATAGACGAAGAACCAGTGGAAATTCCGTTAATCGTCGTTCAACCTTCGTCAAAGACACAGCATCGAATATTTCGCTGCAAAATCGCAAGTTCCTGGAGTCTATAGGGCTAAAACTAATCAAACAATATGGTTCTACACGTATCAAATGAGAAATTGGATGTTTTTGAGGAACCCATCATAGATCATTCCTTAGCCAGCCTACAAGAATACACATGCAAACCATATGGATCGCGATATTTCAAGAATTCAGATATAGTTCACATCCTTATAAACTTCCAAGATCTTATTTTAAACATTGCTGACAGTTATATTTACGTTGAAGGAACATTTACGCCTAGCGACGCTACGAAACCCTGCTACTTATCAAATAATGCATTGGCCTTTTTATTTCAAGAAATTTCCCTACAGATGGATGGCGAAAAAGTTTATGGAGTTCGGAATCCAGGGATAACTTCAACTATAAAAACGATGGTGTCACATGGTAAAAGGGCTATGCATACACTTTTATGTAGTGGTTGGACCTTAAGTGTCGAGAACTCAGCTATATGGCATGTCAAAAGCAAAGTTTTTAGTGATAGGATACCCCTAAAGCATATAATGGGATTTGCAGAAGACTAAAAAAAAGGGGTTCTAAATATCAAACATGAGCTTCTGTTGGTTTATTGCAAGATCCTTCAAAAACTGTTATGTGGGTGAATGTGTTGCTGAATTGACTATATCCAAGATTGAATGGAATATTCAACACATCGTTCCGGAAGATCGTTACAAAGTCAAGCTTCTGCAAAGGTTGAATAAACATGTGAGCTCAAGGATCAAGGTAGCATTTCGATCTTGGGATCTCTATGAGCTTCCATCTCTTCGTTCTACATCATCGGATGCTTGGGCAATTAGAACAACCAGTAAACTAGAGAGACCTCTATTCGTTATCATTGGATTTCAAGATTCTACAGTTGAAGAAAATCATTCGATGGATATGACGAAATTCATAAATGCCAACGTTAACTCGATTCGCTTGAAGTTGAACAACCAAGTAACCTAAGTAACTTGAATTTCGAGAAAAAGCTCAACACCGCAGCTTATTATGCATTTGAGAACTTTCAAAAAACATACTACAACCGGAACATTCCTGAACCTATGATGGAGATTAAAGAATTTAATGACAATCCGCTTTTCGTTATTGATTGCAGTCATCAGCCTGATCATCTACAACTTTCAACTGTCGACATATCTTTGGAATTTGAGACCAGGAAATCTGCATTTCCATTCCACACCAAGGTGTACGCATTAGTTATTCATGACTCATGTTTCAGTTACAATGCTTTTGATGGTTCTATCCAAAATGGACTTATTCATTTCTATTAAATGTTTTTGTAAGTGTGAAATAAAACTCATTTTCTTACTACATGTTGATTTTATTTACCTGTACAAGCTTGACGTAACCTAAATCTAATACTTACAAACTTCCTCTAACATTAATTTTATTAATAAGTCTAAATTACCATTTACAGGGAAAGTGCCTTCTGCAATATCATTGGTTGCACCTATAGCATATAAAACATTCAACGAGGGGTCTGGTAAAACTCAATGTCAGAGTGTCCCCAAGGTAAAGTTTTTGTGGTGTTAGGAATAATAAACCTTTTATCATCACGATGTGCTAGAGCAACCATATTTTTCACCTTCGTGTACACATCATGTAGTTTGCTTTTAAAAGTGAAAAGTCCCTTCTTTCACCAGCAGCCATTTCTATTTTGTCTTGTGTGGATGTTGTCGAATATTCAGACGCATATTATGAGAAGAATTCCTGAACGCACAATCGAGCTTACCCTGTCATGCTATATATATATATATATAATTATATATATATATATATCACAGAGGAGTGACTTTCTATCACAGGTATTGTATTGGGCAAGCCTCACCCCATTCAGCAATTCTCAATTCGAATTTATGGCAGCTATCATTGTTAGTGTATACAATTTGTACGTTGTGTATCTTCAGCTATCGGTATCTTTAATGTGAAATTTGAAAATTTCTAGAAGGCTGCACACATCTGTCGGAAACTTAACATTTCTTTGATCGCCTTCATTCAGTTGATGGAAAAATTTTAAGGCATTACAATATAATGTGTTCATGTATTTATCATGCGTTGATCTTCTTCAATGAAATAACAACAACTCAATATGTCAGGTATTTATTTAATAAGAATGCATTGTATAATCCTATAGTAAACTAAATAGATAGTGTTCAATCCTCATACACGCGGTTATATTTGAGGATAATTTCCGGAGGTAAATACCTTGCAATCTCACACAGAAATGATCTCAGGTTATAATTGATCATATCACTACAAAACTGCTCAATAGTACAATCTTCTTGTAGATACTGCGCACACAACTTCTGCCCTTCCTCGTGTTTCCGAATTAGTCTCCTGATTCTTTCAACCTCGTTATCATCCCAACAAATAGGTATTCTATCGTAGTTTGTTGAATGTTCAGCATCATGCATCAAATCCGTTATACTGGCACACTAATCTCATGATAGCTGTACGTAGATCCTTCGAATCAGGCCAACGCAATGATGCATAATGCATCCACATCTTGTCAAACTAAAGGAGGTGTACTGCTTCTGGAAAGATAAATATAGTGGTCAATATCAAGTGGAACATGATATTTGTCAAAACAACTTTACCTGCTGCATTTTCCTAACCCAGTTCCAATCTGAACCTTTATATTACTTATACCCAACATATTTGTCTATACTACCTCATTTTTTTTAAACTAATTACTACTGTCAACAAAGTCAAACTTTATCAAACATTTTGAACGACTACCTGATGGTGTCTTTGGTCATCTTTGGCCAATATACGCTAAAGAATATTTGTTTAGGGACTCATTTATATCTTTAATCATAATTTCGGGCATGTTTTCCAACACTCTTTTAGGTAGCCAAACCCTAAACTGGTCAGAATCAGAATCAAGAAGGGTTGCTACTAGGCATTGCCCAAACTTTGATTGAATACTTGAAATATTCTTAATAGGATAAGATTTGTTTACAGTTAATGATGATAATGTTCTAGATGGTATATTGTTGTCAGATTAGGTACTTCATGAATATTATTTATTCACTTATCGATGTTAAATGGCTGAATTTGAATGATCAAAGCTGTTGTTGTTTCACCATTTATATAATAACTAGCAGAGTTAGATTACCTTACAGCACCGCTGCATACCCTAAGACATTTGAATAATTCAACCCCCAGATAAAGTTCGGGAGGGCCACAAAAAAATATATAGTCAACATTTCAATTGTTTTGCACCGAACAGTTGAGAGACTTAACAATCGGCATGGCCATTGTGAGGACAACAATGCCTTAACAACACCTTCCACCGACGACTTCTTTTCTATTATAAACGCGTCTATGATCTGAGGACAGAAGCACGAAAATGTTTTACAGTTTTTGATAAGGGGACCGAACTGCTGTGTGGTTTTACAATTAGCAAGGTCATTGAGAGGGTAATAATGCCTTCCTCGAGCTATTTATACGATACAAATTTGTCGAACAACACGTTTTCGATGTTATGAGGATGGTCATTGAGAGGACTTGGAATTTAAATACCCCCGGCCTTTACCACACAGCACCACCATGGGTTCCGTCGAGCTATTTACCTGAGGAGAGTTAGATTACGTTACTGCACAGGTGCATACAAGAGTTTAGGTAGTCTACAAATAATATCGCACCACACACGGTGATTGAGAGGGCAACAATGGATTACATCGCCCGTCAACTCCACATTTCTATTAAACGAGACGTTTTTGATGGTATGAGGATGGTCATTGAGAGGAGTCGGAATTTAAACACCCCCCTCCCCTTACCCCACCGCACGCGACGATTGAGGGGGCAAAAATGGTCATATCATCGGATTAAGGTGTAGGGATGATGAGATTGAAGTGGGAAAAGAGCGCTGCTGCTCGTTCGCCCAGTCTATGAGTTATAGTAGTGGGGGGAGGGAGGTGGGGAGGAGGGGGACACTATCCGTCGACTGATTTCTATTAAACAACACGTTTTCGATGCTATGAGGTTGGTGATTGGGAGGACTCGGAATTTAAACATACCCCGCCCCTTACCTCACCCCCCGGGAGGAAGCGGAATCGGCGACCTCCCCGGGAGGAAGATGAATCGGCGACTCCCCCGGGAGGAAGCTCAATCGGCGAATCAACCCTACTAGTATTGGCTACCGGGAGTTTTATATTTTTGTAGGCAGGTTGACATTTATAATAGTAATTTTAAATATATTTGGAATTAATATTAGGTACTTGAAGTTTGCCGTTACTGTTGGCAATTATTAGAAGACTTGGGGGATAAGAGAAATAAAACTGCAGGCGATGCCGGTGTAATTACTATATTTTAACTAGTAAGGAGGAGTTCAGATAGACATACCCGCACACGTCAGATCACAGAACATTACTTTTTCTATCATATACTTGACTTCGAACTGTCACCCGATATGTTATTCCAACCTAACCTATCAGACAACGCAACGTTGCCAAAACCAGTAACGTGCGATATTACATATTTTAACACTCTCCCCCAATATCACAAGTTACTGCAAATGTAACTCACCACATAGATATCTGTGTTTGACAGAACCCAATGGTTTTCTCTATTCCTACATTCATAGTACCTTTCAAGTATCTCAGCACCCTTTTAGCACACAACCATTGCCCTTTTGTATGTTTATTATTGAATTGACTTAAATAAGAAACTGCGAAAGCAATGTCTGGTCTTGTGCACATAGCAAGACACATCAATGAACCGATTAATTGCTGAAAAGGTGCATCATACATCTCTCCCTCATGGACAATATTTTTGTTTTGTTCCAAAGGAGTATTAACAGTTGTGCACTCAGACATTTCAAACTTATCTAACAATTTTTGGATATATTGTTCTTGACTTATTTTTAGCTTGTCTTTTGAACGAACAACTTTCATACCCAAGAAATAAGTTAACAGACCTAATTCTTTTATCTTGAAATGCCTAGTCAATTCCGTTTTAAGGTTGTTAGCCTCCTCTACATTATCATAGAACAAGAAGAAATCGTCTACTTACAAGGCAATTATAGTAAAGGAATTTTTGGTACTTTTATAGAAAATGCAAGGTTCAACTTTTGACTGACTATAGCCCATCTGCAAAAGCACTTTATAATCTTTCTCATACCACAATCTAGCTGATTGCTTGAGACCATAAATTGAATTGCCTTGTTCAGACGACACACTTTACCTTCTGAGCCTGGAACTTCAAAGCCTTCTGGCTGACTCATATACAGGTATATCTTCATCTAAGTCACCATTGAGGAATGTACTCTCCACATCCAAACGCTCAGCTGATAAATTCAACTCAACAGTCATCGCTAATAAGAGTCTCAAATTACTAAACCTTATAACAGGCGAAAAAGTTTCTGTATAATCAAGGCCATATTTTTGGGTGAAGCCTTTAGCAACTAACCTTGCTCTATACTTAGATATTTTTCTATCACTATCCCTTTTTACTTTAAAGACCCACTTACTTTTTACAATATTTTTTTCGGGTGGTCTGCCGACTAACTCCCATGCTTCATTGGCTTTAAGAGCATCCAACTTCTTTTTTATAGCACTTCCTTTTTGTTCGAAACGGACAAAGCTTCAGAAAGTGTTGCAGGCCCAGAAGTATAATAAGTGACTACTATTGCATAATCAAGGTCTTCATCCATCAAGTAATTATCAAAATATTTTGGCTTTTGAACATTACGTCTTGGATATCTACTTACAGTTGGTTGTCCGCCACTTTCATCAGTCACTTCCCCACTTTCACTAACACCAACACTTGGGGCATCATCAGTCACAGTAGGTGCCATCTCATTCACTATCTTTTGTGGCTGTGGCACGTCTGCTTCTTCAGGAATAACAGCTGGTGGTTTCACATTCTCGCTAGACACATCCTTCTCCACACTGCGCTCAAATGGAAATGAAACACTTAGCTCATCAGGACAGACTGAATCTTCT